AAGAAGAGGCCATGGCACCAGGGATACCACTGTTGATGTTAGACGGATCCTCGCTGAAATCAGAGAACACCAGAAGAATGTGTATTTGCATTTTATTAACTATGCAAAGCTGTTTGGCTGTGTGGATCATAACAAACTATAGCTAAGAAAAGAATGGGAATTCCAGAACTCTTACTTTTGTTTTTATAAACCCTATATCTAAACCAAGAAGGGAGCTCTGCTGGTCTAGTAGTAAGAATTTGTCCTGCAATCCTGAAGACACATGGTTTGAGTTCACCAGCTGCTCAGATGGGCAATCTCTCCTTGTGCGATTACTGCCTCTGAAAACCCACTGGAGGGTCAGCTTTGAGTTGGTTCCAACTTGATGGCACACAACAAAGAAGGGGCTGTTTGAACAGTACAAGAGAACTGCGTGGTTTAAAATCAGGAAAAGTGTGCATCAGGGTTATATCTTTTCTCCATACCTATTTGATCTGTACACTGAACAAATAATTTGAAAAGCTACATCCTATTAAGAATGTGGGATCAGGATAGAAGACTCATCAATAGCCTACGTTATGCAGATTATACAACCTTGCCTGCTAAAAGGGATGATTGGAAATACCTGCTGGACAAGGCCAAAGAATAGTCTTTAATATGGATTTGTCTCAACATCAAAAAGACAAAAATCATCACCACTGGACCAATTAACAACATATGATAGATGGAGAAAAGATTGAAATTGTCAATGATTTAATCTAATTTGGATCCACAAATCAGCACCATTGGTATGCATCAAGATTTATATTGCATTAGCAAAGTTCACTTTCAGGCACCTCTCCAAAATAAGAATGATGTTAGTTTGAAGACCGAGGTGTGCTAGATTCAGGCCATGGTCTTTTCAGTCACCTGCTATGTATCTTAGAGCTGGACAATGAGTAAAATGATAGAAGAATTGATGTCTTTGAGTTGTGATGTTGGAGAAGAGCACTGTCTATACCAGAGAGTATCAAAATAATGAACAGATATGCCTTGGAAAAAGTGTAGCCACGAGTGCTCCCTGGTGAATGGATAGTAAAACTTCATCTCACATACTTGGGTATGTTCTCAGGAGTATCTATTCCTTAGAAAGGGACATCATGATCAGAAATATAGAGGTTTATCAAAAGAGAGGTAGGCCCTCAACAAGATGGACTGATATGGTGTTGGCAGCAACAGGCTCATGTGTGTCACACATGATAAGGATGGGACTGAGTCAGACAGACTTCAGATCTGCGTTCAGAGGGCTGCGGAATACTGAACTCAATAGCACCTAACAACAAGCATCACATACTTTTCTAAGCTGCTTTACATATATAAATTTTTCAAATCTTCTGGATATTTCTATGAGGTATGTAGTATTGCCATCCTTTTTCTACAGATGTTTCAACAGAAGCATAAAAATTTGAAACAGTTGTTTAAGGTCACACAGATTTAAGTGAAGAGTCAAGACTCATTCTAGTGGAGTTTGTCTTCACCATCTGTTTTTACTTAATAATTGTCCCCTATGTATAAAAGCCACATTTGGTCTATATACTTTTTATAGGTTTTATACATATATGTATATATTTACCATTGTTTATATATATCCATTTCAAACACATAATCAATGATGTGGTGTGTATACACACACACACACACACACACTGTTGTCATTGATAGCTGTCAAGTTGAGCATGACTCATAGTGACCCTATGAACAAAAGACCTGAAGCCTTTCTATAACTATCGTTGTTTCTCAAAGTTCTTACGAGGCATGTTGTTTAGAAAGTGGATGCCACTCCTGCTTCCAAATATGTATGTGTATAATAAATGTATATAGACTAAATGTGGATTTTCTAAATAGGGGATAGTTTAGTATAAAGCTCAAGTGGCCTAATGGTAAGAATCTGTGCTGCAATCCCAAAGGCACGAGGTTCAAATTCACTAGCTACTCCACAACCACAGAATGGCCCATCTCCTCCCATGTGATTTACTATCTCTAAAAACCTGCTAAAGGTGAGCTATGGGTCAGTTTCAACTTGACAGTAAACAACAATATATATTCATATGAAATATTTGTTTCCATTTTAAAATATATATTATCTATAGGTTTCCAACTCTACATACATATCTATCTTTGGGAAGCATTTTCTTATATAATTAAAATCCTCACCATTATTTTTATAGCTCCATGTTTTTCCAGAAAATTTAAGTATCACAATTTACTTATCTAACACTGACCTTTCAACTACTGCAATTCTTTGCATACACATGCAAAAAAAGCTACAATAAGCAAATTCTGGACTGCAAAAACTTTTTTCCTTCTTTATATTTTATTTCTTTTTACCAATAGCCCCCAAATTATTGCACTGACTTAAATACATAAAAATCTGAAGTTAATGACATGTTTTATGCCTGTCTTTGATTTTTAACTTTAATCTCTATGTTTAAGTTTTGGCATAATATAATGCTGCCAGCAATGAAAGAATGCTCTGACTTTCCTAAACAATACCTACCAGTCTTTTCTGCTCCTAAATTCAACTGGTATAAAATGGTTAAAGATGATGACTTATGGGAAGGGATAGAAATTTTTTCAGTGAGTAAACTGTTTTCTCCCTCCAACAGTAGTAGTAAAGAGTTGCAACCTGTGAGGTTGGTTATTGTCTTGTTTCTAAAAGTGAGCTTTACAAAGAATCAACAACACACTCAAACTCACTAGTAAGTGCAGAACTGGAGCCAGAGTCCTTATTTCTCTGACTCTAAAGTCAAGAACATCAACTTATGCCAAGAATAGGAAAATTATATGGGGAGAAATGGATTTCAATCTTCATCAAAGATTATCTGTCTCATCAAGGGTAAACCACCTGGGGCATCCATCATTAAGGCAGGATAATTCTTTTGTGTATTTTTCTAACCAAAAATTTTAAAAAGAAGAAAGGAAGGCAATGTTTCATCTCTTTACCCTGTCATGTGGTCTTATTATAACCCAATTTCACCTAAATTTTAAGTAAGGAGTTAGAGCTTTTATCTTATTTTTTTCCCTTAAGTATCATTCTGTATTCTCTTGATGGTCCATAACTACTGTCACTTTTGACAAAGAGCAAAGGTTGCTACACATGAAATAATGGAGGGCATAGGCTTCAGAGTCAGACAGGGCTGAGCTTCAAGTTAGAGACAGCTGCTTACTAGCTATATTCTTTTGGAACAGTATTACATTGAATTATGAATTCATCAAGATTTTATAAAGGATATAACAATTATAAGGCTTCTAGCACTTAGCTGATGCTCAAACCATTTTAGCTTCCTTGCCTTCAAAGAGTAGCATAATATTGTTATGTCCAGGTGTTCTTCTTAAACATCTTGCTTCATTATTTCCCTCAGACAAACTGTAGCATAACATGAAGAGTCAAGATCAAAAGAGATCAAAAGAGATAATGGTGCTTCACTGATGCAAGGATCTTTAGTCTTGACAGCAGTATCTTGCTCATCTTTGAGCTGGTATGAGAGATTATGAGGATATTTCAATATCTGTCTATAGCATCCAGGAGCATTCAATTTCAGAGCAGGTACTTTAAATCTGCATGTCTGTAGTCCATCTCTACTAAGTATTTCATGGTACCACTCCCCTACTTTGTTCTTTGGGTACTGGATATTGTATCCAAGTACTGGAAGAACTACCTGTGAAAAGGAGGGAAAAGAAGTTTAAAAGTCTTCAAAAAGATACAGAAGGATACATAATTTTTTTATGACTGGGATGTGAATTTGTAAAAGTAATAATAACAGAGTCTCAACATTATAGTCACCCTAAAACATGCCATAGAATAATATAATATTCTTAATGTTGAAAGGAAAAAAAAGGTAAAATAGAATCAAGGATTTTCACCCTAAACAAAGTATACAATTAAAATCACATAATATTAGGCCAACCACTGTTGACACAGAAGAGACAGACTAGGAATTTAAGTTCATTTAATTAGCTAACAAAGACTTGGTCTTTACACAACCATGCAATATTATAAGCATATATTTCCCGCTCCCTGCATCACAAAAGGTAGACATCATTCCTGAAAATCCAATTTCACTGCTCAATCACCTAATTGGTATTTTGGTTGGCAATTTTACATTCTTCTTTATTTACAACAAGGAAACTAGCAAGAAACAGCAACTATTTCTTTTTTAAAACTGCTTTTAGGGAAACACTGTAGTTTATAGTGTTTTAGTTGACCGCTGACTTAAAGCAACGCTCATTTGGTCAGCACCAAAAATTTAGGCAGAAAATGGAGTAAGGTAAAAAAATTCAAATATCCACAACAACATGAGTGAATCTCAAAGTCATTATGATAGTAGTAGAAGCCAGACACAAAATGCTAGGATACTGTATGATTCCATTTAGGTGACATTCTTTCAATGACAACAATGGTTGCTAGAGGTCAGGGAGTTAACTATAAAGATGCATGAGAAATTTCAGGGAAATGTTTGTGATAGGCACAACACATCATCATTTAGCAAAATTCAAAGGACTATAAACTTAGAAGGGTGAATTTTATTACACATAAAAGATTCCTTAATTTAAAAAAATTTTAACAGTGACTAAAAATCCAATTTCCTAGTTGGTTCCCACCTCTGGTGACTCACAAGGCTTTCATCTTTATGGGAATATACTGCACCAGCTTTCTCTCTTGGAGATAAATGGATTTTAATATTTTAGTAAGCAGTCCAACATATAATCCATTACATTACAAGGGCCCTAAACAGTATTAGTCAATGTTTCTTCTTTTGGGAGCAAATGTCAACATTTAACACTACTTTTAAAGTAAATCTACCTGATGTATTCCATATGCATTAGTGGATTCCTCTTCTTTAGTTACTGTGTGAACCTGTTTGAAAAAACAAAAGTATGGGTAATTTTCAAATGTTTCAAAGTCCCTCGTTCTTTCTTAACTTATTTCATGTATAATGCAGCTTCTATCTTAAATAGGCACATACCCAAACAAGATCTTTTCACAATTCGTTTTTTCAAGAACACTCAATAAAAATTCAGCGATTCTTTCTACTTTACTCACTGATGACTAAAGTTATAAAGCACCAGGAAAGGTCAGTAACATAATTCTGAGCTTGTACTTCCACCTAAGTCACCAACAATCTTTTTCCAAACAGAAAGTGACACACAATTTGATGACAAAACAGTCTTTGTAAACATATTTTGAACAGGGAAATCTTATAATATAAGCATTTCATTCAGAGATTGCTGACTCCAAGAGTTATGTGTTGTTACATTTAGCCTCTAAAAATCTGAAATAGAAATGCCTTACTTATTTAATAACACTTTGCTCAAGTCATATTTAAATGGATATCCAACCTCTGGAAGGTTTAAAAAACCCATGATTTTTCATTATTTATAAAAAAGAATTGACTAATATATCTTTTCATTGATATAAACAAAACATAATGTTGGTGGATTTATTTTTTTTTCACAGAATTTGTGATTTAGTGACTTAATAAAATTACCATTCTTAACAATTTATAGATGGCTCATGGTATAGATGGTTTGTGCCCAACTACTAACCAAAAGATTAGTAGTTCATATTCACCCTGCAGTGCTGCTCAAGAAAGGCCTGGAGATCTACTTCTGTAAAGTACTACGGAGTTAATTTCCATTATGTATATGCTGCTTAATGGTAAGGAGCTGTGCTGACAACTCAAAGGCAGGCGGTTCAAATCCACAGCTACTCCATGGGAAAAAGATGGACAATCTCCTTCCATGTTATTTACAGCCTTTGAAAACCCAGTGGAGGGTCAACTATGGGTCATTTCTGATTCAAGAGAATACAACCACCACCTAGTAAACACTTTATATATCTATAACCATTCATCCATGGAAATAGTAAAATAAGTTTCTACTGATTTGTCATACTCAGTCTGTCTTTTCTGGTGAAGGACCCTAATTTTCCATGGGGAGCTTCTCAGATATGTTTGGTGGGATGATACCAAGAAGCCCTTGTAACATAGACTTAATCAATCATCCATTTCTAGTTCACAAGAATTGCCTGGGGTCTAGACTGTGAAACAAACCAGTCCGTTCATTACCAGAGAGGCTAAATTATATAATTTTTGTTAAAATGATTAGAGAAGAGGTCTTTCTCCTGTTGTTATTGTTATGTGCTGTTGAGTCACTTGCAACTCAAAGCAACCCTATGTACAAGAGCCCTAAACCCTATCTTGTGCCAATCTCATTGTCTCTGACACATCTACTCCAACTGTCCAAATCACTGAATTGATCCATCTCATTGAGGATCTTCCTCTCCTGTATCATCCCTCCACTCTCCCAAACATGATGTCCCTCTCCAAGGACTGGTCCCTCCTTGCAACATGCCCAAAGTATGTCAGATGAAGCTTCAGAATCTTTGCCTCCAAGTAGCAGCCTGGTTTCACCTTCTCCAAGACAAACCTGTTTGTTCTCCTAGCAGTCCATGGTATATTCAACACTCTTCTCCAGGACCACACGTCAAAGGCATCAATTCTCTATCATCTCTGCTCACTGTCCAGCTCTCTGATGTACAGCATACAATTGCGATGACTATTGCGTGGATGAGGCGCACTTTAGTCTCCAGCCTGAAGTGATTGCTCTTCAGTACTCTGGAGTGGTCCCTGACAGCTGACTTTCCCAGGGCAAATTGTCTCTTAACTTCCTGGCTGCTGATACCAAGAGTGTTGACTGTGGAGTCAAGCAAACTAAAACTGTTAACTATCTCAATCTCTTCACCATCCATACTGATGTTGCCAATTGGCCCAGTGGTGAGAATCTTTGTTTTCTTGATGTTGAGCTTCAATCCATATAGAAGGCTGTAGTCCTTTACCTTCTGCAGTAAGTGCTTCATGTCCTCCTCAGTTTCAGCAAGCAGAGTTGTGTCATCTGCATAATGCAAGCTGTTGATGATTCTTCCACCAATCCTGATGCCACATTCCTCCTCATACAACCCACCATCCTGGATGATCTGTTCTGCATACAGATTGAAAAGGTATGGAGACAGAATACATCCCTTGCACACACACCATTTCCAATTTTGAACCACGTAGTGTCTCCTTGCTCTGTTCTAACGACTGCCTCTTGGTCCAAGTATAGTTTTCACATTAGCACAACCAAATGTTCTGGGATTCCCATTCTTCTCTTTCCTGTAGAGGTTCTTATAGAATCCTAGGAGTATGAGTAGTCATCTTACTACTGAAAGAATAAGCAAGACCAAGAGTGGATTTAACACAAAGGAGAATAGAGTAGAAAAAGGAAGAAAATGGGATAATTAGGCCACTACTCATGCTGCTAGTTACAGCTGTGCCTGAACCTGTCATAAATTTCCAGTTTCATGAACTAATACTTTCCTGTTTGTTTTCCCTTAAATTAACCAAAGGACACTTAACTCATACATCTAAAACTCTGCATTCATTTCATAAAGCCTCCTTTATATAGTATCCCAGAGTCTAATCTTTTCCATTATTTTAGAAAACTCAGATATATTCTGACTAGATTATCCATGATTTCTCCAGCAGAGACCAATTTGGGCTTTGAGCATCTAGTCATTTTAGTTCTGTTACCAGTTTGACTTTGACCCTGCTTCTTTTTCAATCTAAATATCTCACTGTTTATTCTTCATAGCACCAAAAATTATATAACAAACAAATTAAATAGATATTTTGTTGTTATGTGCCATTGAGTCGCTTGTGACTTATAGCGACCGTATGTATGTACAATAGCCTTAAACTCTGCCCTATCCTGTCCCAATCTCACCATCTCTGACACACCCATCCCGAACACCCCAGTCACTGAATAACCCCATCTCATCAAGGGTATTCCTCTCCGGCACTGTCCCTCCACCCTCCCAAGCATGACATCCTTCTCCAAGGACTGATCCCTCTTTGCAACATGTCCAAAGTATGTCAGACGAAGCTTCAGAATCCTTGCCTCCAAGGAGCAGCCTGATTTCACCCTCTCCAGGACAAATCTGTTTGTCTTCCTAGCAGTCCATGGTATATTCAATACTCTTCTCCAGTACCACAGCTCAAAGGCATCAATTCTCCTTTTATCATCCCTAGTCATTGTCCAGCTCTCTGAATCTCTAAAACATTATTGAGAGGGAAAAAATCCAAGTTGTAAACTAACACTTTTACAAAAGAAAAACTCAAAGATATATTTTCTAAGGATAATTAGACAAAGCATTGAAAACACTGTACAATGACACATTCCACCAATAGAAGTGGATTCTTTAGAACAGGAGAGACAATCACAATAGGGAGCTAAAAAGAATGTTAGCCTCATCTGGAAGGTTATTTTTTTAATATATATATTGAAGGGAAAATGCATTCTTTGTTTCATCTTTCACTTTATTCCACTATTTTTTCATTTTGTGACATGGGCTGAGCCTCAGCTAATAAAGGAACAGAAGCAAGAGAAAAGTAAATCTAAGTTAAAAAGTGAAACAAAAAAAACCACATCCTTAGTTTTCAATTGCTGTTGAAGTAAAGTCTTCAGAAAGTTACTGCTTCTGGCGACATGACTTACTTTACTATTTGGGAGAAGCTCATCATCGACATTTCCATCCAAACAAACCAAATCACCTTCCACTACTCTTGATCCATAGGTCGCGAGTCTGTAAGATGCTGCCTCATTCCAAATTTTGCTGCTGTATGCATGGATGTAGAATATGCGCATAGAATGAGGAAAAGAAAACCATGCTTGCACACAGCCTTCCTCTGTCATGCCAAAGCGATTCAACGACTCCAGCATTGCTCTTTCTCGGACTTTGAATTCAGGCATCCGTGAGTGTGTGCCTTTAACATCCTCTAGAACAACAGCAATTTTTTTTTAAAGAGTCATTTAAAAATAATCTTTGCTATGCATTCTAATTGAAAGCTAATGAACTATGTTAGCTCAAAAATATTAACATGAAGATGGTGCTCAACATCAATTATCAGCTAAACCAAGTTATGCTTAAAGAATACTGGCTTTGTTTTTCACAATGAAACCTCATTGACCTTATGTTGTTATGTGTTAAGTTGGAACCAACTCAAGGCTGACCCTCCAGCAGGCTTTCAGAGGCAGTTACTCACATGGGAAAAAATTCCCCTTCTTTCTCCTATGGAGCAACTGGTGGATTTGAACTGTGTGCCTTTGGGTTGGCCGTACAACTCCTTACTACTAAGAAACCAGAGCTCTCCTACTGTTCTGCTTTAAAAATAAAAATAAAAACTGTACCATTAGCAATGAATTGTCAACCACATGCCTTTGAGATTGCAGTGCAGCTTTTTACTGCTAGGCCACCAGAGCATCCCCTAATAGAGATGGGCATGCAGTTCGAATCCACCAGCTCCTCCATTGGAGAAGGATTAGTAATCTCTCCTGTGATTTACTGCCTCTGAAAATCCACTGGAGGATTTGCTGTGGGTCAGTTCTGACTTGATGGTACACAACAAGAGAAGTAAAAATAATACTGAAAACTAAAGCAAGAACCTCTATAAGAATTAAATTAGTTGCCTGGTAGTTTTTGTTGTAAGGTGCCATATAGTCAACTGAGACTCATGTTGCTGTTATTATTGTTGTTATGTACTGTCAAGTCACCTGCAACTCAGAGCAACCTATGCACAATTGCTCTGAAGCCTGCCCTGTCCTGAACCAGTCTCACTGACACCAACACACCTACCCCCATCATCCAGGGTCCTCCTCTCCTGTGCTGTCCCTCCACCCTTACGTCCTTCTTCAAGTTGTTGATGAGTTTTCCTCCAATCCTGAAGCCACATTACTCCTCATAAAGCCCAGCCTTCTGAATGATCTGTTCAGCACATAGATTGAAAAGGTCTGGATGCATCCCTGACATAATCTCTTCCTGAATATGAACCATGTAGTGTTTCCCTGTTTTGTTCTGAGGACTGCTTTCTGGTCCATAAGCACAATCAAGTGTTCTGAGATTCCCATTCTTCTCAAGGTCAACTACAATTTGTTGTTATCTACACAGTCAAATACCTTTGCATAGTCAATGAAACACAGATAGACATTCCTTTGGTACTTTCTGCTTTCTGTCAAGATCCACCTGACATTTGCAAAAATGTCCCTAGTGTCACTGCGTCTTCTAAACTCAGCTTGTATTTCTGGTATCCTGCAGCTTCCTTGGATATGCTTGACCACACTGTTCTGTCACCACGTCAACCCATCATGTTGAGGGTCTTCTTCAGGAAGGAAAGGCCTTGACACCAGCTTTTTTAGGAATTTCACCAAGTTTTTCTCATGCACACTAAAATTTAAGAATAATTACCATAAATAAATTATCTTAAGACTCTTTAAGAAATATTGCTGTTGTTATTATGTGCTGTTATTACATCCTATCTACATACTGTCCTAGCCACTTTTGAAAGATCTTTAGCAGTATATCACTTGCATGTGTGAGATCAATGATATTGTTAAAAAATGTCTACATCCTGTTGGAAATGAGAAGAAATACAAATCTCATCCAGTCAGTCAGCCAGACAGCAGGCCTCCAAATTTCCTGGCATAGCATCTCCTAGCTGAACTACATAAATCAGTTTCCACCAATTTCTAGGGTCTTATCACTTGCAAACGCCCTCACCTCAGGGCAGCTTCAACTTCTTCCTTCATTACTATTGGCTCTTGTTAATACAGTACTTTCTGACATTTCTCTGTGTCAAGTAAATTCTTTTTGGTACAGCAACTCTGTATTCCTTCGATCTTCTTTTGATGCTTCCTAAATCATTCAACATATTTTCGGCAGCATCCTTCAATACTGCAACTCAATGCTTAAATTTATCAGTTCTCCCAGCTTAAGAAATGCAGAGCTAGCAGTTCCCTTTTTATTCTCCAATTCCAGCTTTCTGAACATTCCATTATAATACTTTACTTTGACTTCTCGAGCTGCCCTTTAAAATCTTCTGTTCAGCTTTTACTTCAACATTTTTTCCCTTTGTTTTGGTTTCTGGACACTCTAGTGCAATTTTCAGTCTCTTCTGACATCCATCTTGGTTTTTTCTTTCTTCTCTGTCTTTGTAGTGACCTCTGCTGTCTTCATTGATGATATCCTTGATATCCCACAACTCATCTGGTCTTCAATCAAAATGGTATTCAATGCTTCAAACCTATCCTTAAGATGACTTTTTTTAAATTAATTTCAATGAACATCTACAGAGATTTTGGATTTCCATTCATTCATTGTTGCACTTTTCTCCCCGCCCACACCACCCCTACCCC